AATAATAATAATAATAATAATAATAATTTTTTTAATATAATATATCATATTATTATTGAAAATACGATATCCCAAGATATCTTCATCGTCATGTATACTTTCAGAAAACCTCTCTGTGTGCATGAATGTAAAAAGGCAAATAGGACACTAGAATACCTACCCCCGGACTAGGTACATGATTTTACTGCTCTAATACCTACAGACAACAGAATTTGATGAAGTACTCTATGCTGTCAACCTACCCAAAATACAGAAAAATTATATATATATTATATTTTATTATATGTTATAAATATTAGAGTATTTCTATACCTAACTATAACCGTTGATTTCTTTTAGTATCCAAACAATGAGTTTGACAATGAAAAAAAACGTCAACATCATTTGATTTAATTCTATTGACTTCAATAGGCTACACAGGTATTCAATAATATAATAAATTATTATTATCAGGTAATAATAATTTTTACTCAAAACATCACCAAAAACCCAGTGAAATACATACGTATTTAACAATTTTCAATCAATTCGTTTTAAAAATCTCTAATAATAATAATAATAATTTAAAAACACTGTTATCATATTCATGATAATTAAATTAACACACAACGGTCCACAACTAGTATATAAAACGTTTTATCAAGAATAGTTGTGACGTCATGTATGTAACAACGCATACTATCGTCATCACCACCATCGCCGCCCCCGCGAAAGAATTTTCTAGATGATGCTTATTGTGTTAGAAAATTATATTTATTAATCAGCCATAATCAGCTAATCTGCCATCAGGCTATTGTGTTAGTAAAAACAAAAACATACTACTAGGGTTTTCTTTAAAATCAACTAAAAGTCGGCTGAAGGTCGAATACTTACTTAAATGGTGATATTTTGTGGATTAATTGAAGTTTGAATGATACAGTGACTTCATTAAAAGTGGTTCTTAAGGATAAATTTTAGAAAATAAATGTAAAATTATAAAAAATAGACCGCCTCTTTAGCTATTGTAAATATATTTGAAAAACTATACAACAAAATGTATTTTTTATTACGAAAGAAAAATCAAGAAAAATTGTTCAATGTTAACAAAAATAACTGACATTTTAAATGTATGATTTATAGGAAATTTGACTAAATAGAAATACAACAAACATTGACAGAATATTTTTCAGTATAATATTGTATATTTTAAGAAAATGAAATACTTTATTTCTATCACGCACAAGTCCCTGTATGATTTATAATACTGCAAAAATATTTTCATTTACACAAATATATGTATGTATATTTTTAATGTAAGTATACATCTGTGTATATTTTTTACTATAGTAATTTATTAATAAAATACAATAAGAAAATAATAAAATATTCTTTATCACATGTCTTAAAATTATTAATATGAAATATAAAATCGAATAAGATGAAATTATAAATTTTTAGTTTGGAAAATGAAGAATTTGAAAAAATAAGGAATAAAATATGAGAAACGTATTATATTTTTCACATGAAACTTTTTTTTAACCAAATTAGAATGACTTATTTTTTTCTGATAGCGTTTCTATATTATTAGAGAATTCGTCATGAATTTTGCAAAGTAATTGAACCGCGTTCGCTTAGGTTTGAATAATACAGCCTCATTAAAAAGAATTTTTCTTGATAAATTGTAAGAAATAAATTAAATATTACAATTATAGGCGGTCTACCTAGGTCAGTCGGTAATGCGTCAAACCTCGGTGCGTAAGTACTGGGGTTTTTATTCCGTTGCGTTGGCCTATGTAGTTTTTACTCGTCCTCTCTGGCATAAGTAGTAGCTTTTAGAGAGTATGTTAATCATGATAAACAAAATAAAATTAATCAAATACATATATCTGAACATATTGAAAGAATAAAATACTACCTCAGGTAAAATATTTTACATTTCTATTACCATTATTTTCTGAGCCACAAACTAATGTGTGAAAAATGATTAAATCTGTGAACAATTTGGTAATCAAACTTAAATTTTTTAGTTATGATGAGTTTTGTTTTTATTTTCATTAATCAGAAAACAATTTTTTTTTATTAAATTACAATTTTTCAAGATTACATAAATAACAAAAGTATATTTTTCATGAATCAATTTAAAGTATTTGCAATTAATTTTAAAAGTGATGGGTGATATTTGAGGGTCGTCATTTAGGGGGATCAGGGTGTGCGGTTACATTCTTACTTTAAAAACAGTGTCCTTTTTTTTCCACGGTCGGCATTACTGTAGGTTTTAGTTAACGGGTCCTACAATAACGTTTGGCCCGTATGACTGATAATAATCAACACAGAAGAAACAAATATATACCCAAATATAAAATAAAAGAGTTTGATATTTATACAATTATTATTTGTATATATTATAGAAAAATATGGTTGTCTTGTGCTGTTTATAATTAATAACTATAATATAATATAACAATTAAAATGTATAAAATTAAATTTAAATTGGGCGTCCCCAAATACAAAGATAAGTAAATTTGGCAATTAATCGATAAATAAATTTACACATAAAAAGATTATAAAGTCCAACCTGTATGAACCCACTGATTTCACAAACAACCTGATGTAGCATTCAGCTTTTAATATTGAAGTTCACGTGACCACAGAATAAAACCAGAGTTTCAGCTTTTGTATAGCGACCCGGAATGCGACATGATCGTAACCTTTACCTTAATTCTGATAACAAATGGAACCAGATACATATCAATACATTTATATATATTGTTTATATTTATTTGAACTGTTGAATATGTACACACAGTTTCACGACTCTGCGACAAGCCGGAAAAAAACACTATTGAAAAAATACGGGTCATTCCATGTGAAATCACCTAATGTGTGTGCTGGTATAGTTCAGAAATTTATATCATAGACATCTTAAAAGTCATTGACAACAAAAATAATATTTNTGTGCTGTTTATAATTAATAACTATAATATAATATAACAATTAAAATGTATAAAATTAAATTTAAATTTAAATTTAAACATTACTAAAAGTTTCTGAAAAGAAAAAAAAATTTTAATTAAAAAATTTTTTGTCCTTCAAATTTTGCTATTAAAATACTGCAAAATTTAAATCAAAATTTCGATGTTCAAAAAAATTCAAAATTTATAAACTTAAGAATAAAATTGAAGTACTATTTAATATGAGTAAAACAGTGCTAGTTCCACAGTGATAGCTTATTTGGATGTGAAGTTATAGGCTCTAGAACATAGGCTGTTTTTTCATGTTTTTAATTATAAAAAATGCACTATCTGGTAAAAAAACAATTATAAAAAAAATAAAATATTATTTTTGTTGTCAATGACTTTTAAGAAGTCTATGATATAAATTTCATAAATTTCTGAACTATACCAGCACACACATTAGGTGATTTCACATGGAATGACCCATACACGTGTATATCGATCACGTAACGATATCAATAACAATATATCGCACAAACATTAGCATATGTCACACATAGCTAGTCAGCCGATAGACTGCTCGACTGTCAAAATTGTTTGGCCCGGTGTTTTCAAAAGCCGCCGTATACACTTTCACGGTCTAATGTTACCACCACTACCTCCGTGTTCATCCGGTACACACTATCAATACCGACTGATGCGGAGATAACACGTGCTGTTTTGAACAGTGGGCTACCCTGGAACTGCTGTTAGGCATTACTTCATGGTGGCCCACACCTTCTATATAATTCACGCCACCACGTTGTGAATCAGCCCGAAATTAATCAAGAGCTGATTCGCAACGTGAACTGCAGTCTCCCCTCGTAAGAAGAAATTTCTTATTCATGTTGATATTATTTTACTATGTGGTTTTTTTGTGGCTGCGACTTATTTTCCCAACCCTCAAATGACCTACTATTTTCAACAATACGTCAAATGACTACAATTCGTATTTAATTTAAGTTATTACTCTTTTATTATTATTCAAATAAAAAGTAGCTTAACCAGCTTTCTCCATACAAACAATTTTTAATATTTTTAAAGTATTTATTGCCGAATGAGATTTGATATGATAAAAGTATTCAACTACAAAAGTAAAAAAAAATTACTTTGAAATTTATTAATTTTATAATTCTATTTGTGTGTGCTACTAACAGCCATTAATATTTCACATTTTTTAATAACATTTTGCTATATAAATCATTTCAGAAAAAAAAAAATTATTTTTAGTTTTATCTGAATTTGACAATGGATTTTTACAATCATAATAAAATTTTATAATACGCTCAATTGAGAAGATTTTTATAACAACTTTAAGGTTTCAGCCAAACAGAGGGCCTACTAATTACCCACTGCCCAGGGGGAACACTGGACAGTGACCTAGTAGCCGCGCCAAACAAGATAGTACTTGTTGACGGAGCTACTAGGTTTTGATAAAAATAAAAAAAACAAATGTTAATAAAAATGAGGGAAAAGTATAGAGAAAAAAAAGAGGCCATGTATAATACAACAATATTTTTTAATTAAAAATTTAAAACTACTATTTTAAATATAAATATATTCATAGGAAATGACTATGAAAAGGAGAAGATAAATAAATATAGTTTAAAAAAGTAAAAAAACACGCTTTTAAAGCACATCGAACTAAAAAGTTAAAAATAATTTTTAAAATAATTATGAACAAAAAATACTAGT